GATCCGCAGCGGGCGGGGCTGCGGCGCTCCGAGCTCCTCTCGCTCCTCTCGGTCAGCAGCGGCGCCCGCAGCCTCCTCCCGGCACTGCAGGCACCGGGCGCCGCCGAGCGCCGCGGTCCTGCCTTGCTGCGTACAGGGCACAGTCGCCACCGAGCCGTCACAGGAGATCCAGCGCGGATCTCCGGCCTCCGCATTTCCCCAGCCGATCTCTGCTTTCATCCTCCAGGCTAGCACCATCGGGAGGAAGGCAGAGGCATTTCGGGGCCGTGATTCTTTAACCGCACCGGAAACGAATCATTTACTGATGTCATTAGATGTAAATTAAAACTCAGTTTTCAAATTTTATCCTGTAGCTAATTGTTACTCTTATCCTTTCTGCTCAAAAGCATCTTCAACAACAGGTCTCAGAGAGAAAACGGGAAGATACCTCATCCCGAAAATACAGAGCTATCAGGTTCATTAACACAAGCGGGACGAGAGCAATTGCATGCTTCTTGAAGGCAGGGAGATAATTGTTAGAGGACTGAATTACAGCTACAAATAATGATGCAGCTAAAACTCTCAAAGGAATGTTCCAGGACTTCAAATATTTGACATCCCTTCCCAACATAAACTTAGTGTTTATTTAGATTACATAGACTGATCTTTAGTGAAGTCATTCTAGGATTCATTTTTTCTGAAATTAATGTGTAAAGCACTGTCGTTTGTTAGTAAAATATCCATCTAAGTATTTCTTAATGACGTTGGTACGATATATGTTCAAGAAAATAATTAGGGAACCGTAGAACAAAAGTATAACTGTGTTCTCGAGACGGTACAGACCACCAATGTATAAATGGGCTTGATTCAAGTGTCTAAACCCTCCTCTGGCCAATCCCCCTGATGTGTGATCCCTTCGTATCTCGGATGTCTATCCTAGTAAGAGAATTGCAAAAATTTCCCTACTCCATATATGCGAGTTCTACTAAAACGCCCAACATTTTTGTGAAATGAGAATAGAAAAATAAAAATCTCTGAAACAGAAACGTTTCAACACTCTCACCAGTGTACGAAATAATAATCTTGAGCAGCAAAACAGCGAACTGAAAGCCAGGACGCATAAAGGAAGCAAACTAGTCCCACTAATGCATTCTCCCCCAACATGGGTGACAATCTCTATTTTTAATCAGGATAGATAAGGGATGTTTCTGCATTACTTTCCTTTCTACATCTAATAGGGACAAAATAAAAGAACGGGTTTATGTAAAGCTTGAAACGAGTTCCAAACACAGTTTTTTTCAACAAATCAGTCAGGAAGAAAAATATCCAAAACCAGATGTCAGAGGTTTCTTTTTTTTCCCTCGTCTCCATCATGCAGAATCAGCTGTTCTCCTCCAAACAATACTAATCTGCTTTCAATGTTGGTTACACGTTCTAATTTACACAGCTCAAATACTGAAGACAAAACCTCTAGGCTGAAGCTGAACTTGTGACCAAGGAAGAAGCAAGTGTTTCCTGCTCTGCATGAACGGGAACAGCCCCTTCCATAATCCAGTCCATGACGGGGACAAGACTACAACTCACATCAACGAGACTCCGGGAAACATGGAGAAGCACTGAGAAATGCTGATACTTGCCGAAAGGAGAGCTATAGTCAAAGCCTGTCGTCTGAGGCTATGACCGAGAAAAAATTAAAAACTTCCGCCTCTACGTGGAGAAACAGATCACGAATCGCCACTAACACTACACAGAGAATACCTGGGAAAAAAATGAGGACGATTCGGAAACATTTAAAAAAGGAAGAAGCTCAGGCTTTACAGACCTGCGGTGCATCGGGATTGGCGGGAGGCTCTCCCACGAGGAGGTTACTGCTCGGGCTCGGCTTCTCGCAGGAATCGCCGCCCAGAAGCTCCTCCGCCGACAGGACGGGCACCGGCGGCGG